CTGGCTTGTTTCATTGAATGTGATTGTACGGACACTTCGCTTACGGCACCTGAAGGCTCATTAAAGTGACTCGATGATGTGCTTTCTCCAGTATACAGAGCATCGAGGATGGTCAATCTAAAAGAGATGCATTATCATAGCAGAGCGCTTTCATAGTGCTATTGCACAGTTGAGGCCACCAAGAAAAATGTCACTCAAACAACTTTGTCTGCTCTTCTGAATATGCTCAAGGTCAGTAGTTTTGATCAATCCTGGCAACGCTCGTACTCTACTTGCCCCACCTAGAGATACGCCGCATGTGCCTATTGTCACTTCAATGGTTCCTGGACACTACTCTTATTTTGGGCTGCAAAAAGCCTCGAAAATACGTTGCAAAAAGCACGTTGTGAAGGCAATGAAGTTCCTCTTGCCTTTAATATTGATGGTCTGCCAATTTCCCAGAGCTCTTTTATGCAGTTGTGGCCCATACAATGCACTATTCATGAAGGTCGCAGAGTATCACACCTTGTAGTTAGCCTTTTTGCAGGCCTAGGAAAGCCTGCTCCTGCTAAATTGTTTGACCCACTAGTCAGTGATCTTCAACAGCTTCTTTCACATGGAATTAATGATATATGGTGTTTAATGATAAGTGTGCCAGTACACAAGACAAACAATGAGGGCAATGCAACAATGGTTATAATGACTGACTGCAAAGGCACCTGAAATTCCTCGCCCTAAATGTGCGTAAACCATAGAGGTATTAAAATTATGAGAGACATAAAATGTGTACACTGAACGAGAGCGGCAAACAATCACAATGATAAAGCTATAGATATGATAGAGCACGAATGTCTCTGGAATGCCCTTTCCCACGGTATTTTTCAAAAGCACATAATTGACATTTCTTTGTACTGTTTTGTTTTGGGTGCCCCATCTTCATCTTTTGCATTTCAAATCAAAGAACACACTGGTTATTATGCGTGTCTCAAGTGTACATGAGGGTACATACAGAAATGATCAACTCAGCTTCCCAGCTGTATCATCCACTTTGCGTATGAATGATTCTTTCAGGCGTCAGATTGACCCTGACCATCACCCGGGTGTATAAGCATTAACATCACCCGGGTGTATAAGCCATCATGATGACCATCATGGTATGACCATCACCCGGGTGTATAAGCATGAAGCATACCAAATTTCGTCCGCCCAATTTCGCGGCATTTTACGACTAATTTTCGTCAGCCAGCGTTGCGAGACAGCTGAGCCTAACCGATCCGTTAGGCCTAGCGAGGGCTTCGGCCGCCTCAGACCGCGCCGTCGACCCCGTCGCGAGCAAAATGACGGCGCCAGGCCCCTCACCCATAGACACCTCCCCACCAGGGGACTTTCAACCGATTCTCGACAGGAGTTCGGGACGAATGGCCATCGCCGTCGCTGGAACTTCAATCGATGAGACGCCGGACGACACCGCCGGCTGGGTGGTGGCCACCCAGCGCTGGCAAAACCTCGAGCAGCGCAGAAACTCCGCTTCAAGTTTCAGCACCGACACCAGGTAAGAGGGCAGCCCCGCCAACCCAGGCCCAGATTATCAGGAGAGTCAATGCAAACTTCGCGAAGACGGCACGAATGCCTTTCGTGCTGAGAGGCGAGTACAAGATTATGGTCAGGCCCCACGGGGGACTACTTGTTGGCAAAGTAATGATGCCAGAACTCGTGCGAGCCATAGCGAGTGTGGCAAAGGTGAGCAGCGAAGAAATCCAAAGGGACAAGGTCTGCCCGAACGTGGCCTAGAACATTATCGTAATAAGCACGCCAGAACAGGCACGGGTCAGCCAATATGCGAGCATCCGAGCCCTGGGAATCAGCGGGCAGGCGTGTGAGGTGTTTGCTTATGCGGCAGCACCGGAAAACATGATAAAGAGCATTGTTGGAGGCATACCGCTCAGCGAGACGCCCGAAATGATCCGAACGAATGTCGTCAACGACTACAATGACACGGAGCTCGAAGCACACCGCAATGGAACCTCGCACGCTGTGACCATGCTATTCAACGGTAACAAAGTTCCAGCCTACATAAAGTACTGCGGAGCCTTAATTCAGTGCAAGATCTACCGGCAACACAAGGAAGTGTGTAAAACGTGCGGCCAACTAGGGCACCGCAGGGACGTGTGCCCCCGGCCAAATGTAAAAATATGCTTCGCGTGCGGGAAGACGAACCCCCAGTGACGACCGCGAGGAGTGCAACCCCCCCTGCAAACTATGCGGCGGATCACACCCCACGGACACGGGAAACGGTGCGAACAAGTTCAAGACGCCATTCCTGATGCGCAAACGCAAGACGGCGACCGAAAAGGTGGGAAAATCCGGCCAGAAAGGAAGACTCTCCCGCGCTCCCCAAGAGCGCACAGAGGGAGAGGAGTAACAGCCGCAGCGAGAGTAGGAGGAGAGCGCGCAGCCGCGAGCGCTCGGTGAGCCGCAACAGGCAGTGCAGCGTCTCCTGCAATCGCACGTGGACTGACGTCGTCAAAGGCGGAGCCAAGAGCAAAAAGGACGCGAAAAACTCGCCAATGCTCGCGCACGCCAGCGAGCAAACCGCAGAGCAACCCGCTAACAGCCAAGATGTTGCAGCTCGAGAGCACTATCAAGCTGATGCAAGAATCCATGAGGGAGCAGCAAGAGACCATAAGACAATAAGCGGAAGTGATCACGAGACTCACCTCGCAACAGCCCAGGTTGGGCACGCAGTGGAATGTAAGCGTTCCATCAACAGCGACGCTCGCCCTATCGAACCCGACGGCCATGCCGCCGCCACCACCGCTGGTGCGAGGGACAGATAAAACCCCCAGGCAAAAGAAAGCCCGTCGCAGCTCGGTGAACAAGTCGGACTAGGAAGAGGACCTGAACATGGACAACGACGCAGACGAAACCGCATCCGTCTCGTCGATCTCAACGCAGCACTCCAGGGCATTAGAGGGCCAGGAAGGACTGAACTGCGGAGCCAGATTTAAGAAAATCTACAACCGAATAAACAGGCAAGACCATCGCATTAGCGAGATCTCCCAAAAGGTGGACAACGTGGCGTCGGCAATGACCAAGTTCAAAGCAAGGGTAGAAGCCCGCATAACTATGGGCTTTGAAGAGATGAAACTCTTCATGGTTCAACTACTCAAAGGAGAGCTGAACTCCCTCGGCCTCAGTAATCACAACACACCTGGATCCTTGCCCAACTATGGACAAAACAACTAATCAAGCCAAACTCAAAGTATAGCACTGGAACGCCAACGACCCCCGGTGTGGCAAGGCAATACTGCAACAGCATATAACACTCATGGCCGCACCCCGGACGTGATTATTGTCGAAGAAACGCACATGGAAGAGATCCCGAAACTCCTGGGGTATCACGTTCGTACCTCGCCTCCCAGCGCATGCACCAGCAACGTCGGTGCAGCGTAGGGGGTCTGCAGCGTAGGGGGTCTGCACCTTCGTCCGCAATGGTCTCACCCTCATCAAGCTCGACCGCTTCCTCGACTGCAACACAGCCCTAGAGCTGTACGCAGTCGAGGTCGAGATCGGAAGGAAGAAGCAGGAATCCGTCTTCCTGGTAAACGCCTACAGCAGCACGCAACATCGCGGCCAGCGCTTCAAGATGCTGTTTCACAAAGGCAGGCAAAAAGCCGTCGACGTACCGGTGCTCGTGGCGGGAGACTTCAACTCTTCACAAGCAACTGGGCTACCCTCACACAACAGCTAAGGGATGAAGTCTGCTCAAAGAAGCTGAAAAGGCGGAGTTTGAGCTTCTCTCAGACCTGCAACAGCCGTCGCGCATCGGCACCTCGATCACTAGGGACACCACCCCGAACCTTGTCTTCGCACACCTCGTTGACGACAGACCGGTGAGCTGGCGTAAGACGGGACACAACCTGGGCAGTGATCATTATATCATATAAGTGGAAATCCCGCTGAAGATTCGGAGCAAACTGCCCCCGACTCGGAAACAAAAGCTCACGAACTGGAACACATTCCGCCAGCAAGAGATCGCGCCCACCATCAAAGACCTCGAAGAGTGGACGCGAAGCCTGGTAGACGCCACAGAACGTGCGAGCACAGAAATAGAGACAGATGACATGACCTCACCCATGGACCCCAAGCTGGCACACCTGATCGAAGTGCGCCAATCCCTTCAACACCAATGGAAACGAATGCGTCACAGCAGGACGCTGCAAAAACGCATCGCCCACCTAGGCAGGGAAATCGAAAAGTAGAGTAGACTGCTCTTCGCGCAGCAGTGGCACGCCATGCCATCTGCAACGAGGCGGACGGCAAACTCCACACCAGCTGCTTGTGGAAGCTGCTACGACACCTGCGCGACGAGACGCAGAGTAAATCATACCAGCAACATAGGCTGGCGCAGATCCTGCTCGCAGTGATAAAGAAGCACAGAGAAGACGAGGTGGGCAGATGCCTCAACAACCAATACTTCCCAACCAGCACGCAGACCCGACACCCGCATTACGCGGGACCGGGAAATGCCACACTTGACGCGGCCATAGAAGAGTGGGAGGTCCGCCACGCAGTGCAGGTGTTCAACTGCAAGTCTGCAGCGGGACCGGACCTGATACACAACAAGGCCCTGCTCAATCTCAACGACACGGCTAACACGGCCCTTACTGGATAATACAAGTGCTGGCATTCAGACATCCTGCCAAAGCAGTGGCGCACGGCCCGCACAATACTGATCCCCAAGCCGAATAAGCGGCCCGGCATCGAGAACTTCCGCCAGATCTCCCTCACGTCGTGCGTGGGCAAGGTACAGTGTAGACCGCTTATAACGTAAGTCAAGGAAGTTGTAAAAATCCGCGCTATAAGCGGTACCACATTATAACCAAAGCATGCTTTTTTCGGCCTTTGCTTATGTCAAAAGGGCAACCCACCTTTCAAAAGCAATTTACTACACTTTTCACTCGCAGACGCATTCAACACAATCACAACACCGCACGGAAACAAAGTTCTCCAGTCCGGCATCAGCGGAAGAACGCCGTTATTTTTGTCTGGCGATGCTTGCGAACAGCGCTGCGAACAATGTCGTTCTCCACAAAGCTTAAGCACTGAAGCGATTTCTCGCTCAAACTGTTTTTCGCGCAGTACGTTTTCACTTTAGCGAGGTATTCCAATGCGTCTTTGCACAGGAAATCTGGTTCTGGCGTCGGGTCGACATCGTCTTCGTCGTACGACTTGTCGTCCGTTGCAACCTCCGCACTATCGCGCACCGCTGCGACGATCGCGTCATCTGTGCTCGCTTCCTCGCAGACAGAAAGCTCCGACTCCCCGGCATCGACAAATTCTTGGAAAATGTCGGTGGTGGTTACAAAGTTGCTGTCAACGAGGCAGGACCACACGTCGTCAGTGTTGAGGGTCTCATCGGCGAGCGACGCTCTGCTCATCGTCTTCCAGAGCCTCTGCATTGCGCACGAAGCCTGCCCTCTTGAAACACTTGCTTATGGTATCGGCCTTTACCTGCCACCATGAAGCGACCACCATGTCAATTGCGCCTCTTAAGTTCACTTTAAGAGGCTGCTGCTGCTGCACGCTCAGCAAAACTCTTTCACAAATGCGCTTTTTGTACAGCGCCTTTACGGTTGCGATGACACCCTGGTCGAGAGGTTGACTTTTTGCTGTAGTGTTGGCAGGTAAAAATTTTAGGTTGACTGCGGTCAACTTCGGCTTGACGTTGTGGGCCGTGCAGTTGTCGAGGATAAGCACGACCCGCCGCTTCTCTGCCACCATATCCTCATCAAACTTGCAAAGCCAGCTGGTGAACAAATCCTGCGTCATCCACGCCTTTTTATTGGCTTTGTAGGTCACTGGCAGGCACTCTCGCTTTTTAAAGCAACGTGGCCTTGCCGATTTAGCTATGACAAAGAGGCAGCGCTTGTCGCTCCCGTCCGAATTGGCGCAAAACAATACAGTTATGCGCTCCTTTGGGACCTTGCGGCTGGAGCAGGCTTCCCCTTTCAGTGCAAGCGTGCGGTTGGGCAAAAGATTATAAAATAAACCAGCTTCATCGGCATTATAAATGTCTCTGTCAGTATAGGTCGACAGCATACTCTCCAAGTTCAAGCGAAGCCAGACTTCGATAGACTCGTCGTCGACAGCGCCGCTTTCTCCGCACACCCCTTTGCAGCTGATGCCATGGCGATCTTTGAAACACTGAATCTACCCGTTGAGTGGATTGAAGTCGTCATGGCCCAAAAAGAGCCCCGAGACACTTGGCCTATTGTTGGAGCATGGGGCCACTTACTGGGATGCTCTGAGCCCTAATTTCGCGGAACCACCTAAACAGCGCTGTGTCCACGTCTTCGTGTTTTGACGTACGTATTCTCTTCCGTGACAGGGAAGACGAATCTTGATGCAGTTGCTGAATAAGTGTTGGAAGAGTGGGACTATCCCTTGTCAATAGAAGACTGCTCAGGTCATTATGATTCCGAAGTCGGGTAAGAAAGCACAGGTGGATAACCTTAGACCAATTTCACTGACTTCATGTATAGGCAAACTCATGGAACACGTCATCCTTACGCGTCTCACTACCTACATGGAGGAGAACGGACTCTTCCCACATACCATGATCGGTTTCAGACCTAAACTATCAACGCAGGACATCATGTTACAAATTAAGCATCAAATACTCGATGTGGGGACCAGATCTTTAGACTTTAAGGCTATCTTGGCCTTTATCTCACTAAGGCCTTTGATACCATCACACACAGAGCTATATTAAAGAATCTTCGGGGACTGGGGATAGGACAGCGCTCCTACGCATATGTGAGAGACTTCCTATCCGACCGCACTGCAAGAACTGCGGTCGGAGAGGCAAGGTCTGAAGAGATTGAATTGGGCAGTAGGGGGACACCACAGGGTTCGGTGCTGTCTCCCCTGTTATTTATTGTGGCGATGATTGGCCTACTCACAAAACTTGACCAGATTGAGGGCCTCAGACATAGCATATACCCAGACGACATCACCTTCTGGGTGACGGGTGGGAGTGACGGCGACAATGAACACATATTACAAGAAGCTGTTGACACTGTAGAGAGATATGTAGAAGGTAAGGGGCTAAAATGTTCTCCCGAAAAGTCGGAATTACTCATTTATAGGCCCACATGCAGGGGACGCAAAAGCATACAGGAAAGGCCAGACATCACGATTTTTGCAGGGGGAAGTAAAATACGGTAGCGAACCTACGAGTTCTCGGCCTCCGTATATCTGAAAATGGGCACAATGAAGAAATTATTAGGCTATTAGAGAACAGCGTCCGCCAAACAAGCAGGCTGATCAAACGATGATGATGATGATGATGATGTGTGGTGTTTTATGGCGCAAGGGCCAATTGATGGCCAAAGAGCGCCATTTCAATGAGTATAGAGATGCGGACAATGATATGTTGCGTGGCTGTATAGGGGCCTTAAAATTCCTCGCGATAATGCGGGTAAAAACATAAGTATTAAAGACATGACAGCGGCGTGATATGCATATTAAAAAGGGTGACAAAGGTTTTGATAATAAAAACATGTAAAAATATTTGGCACTAGCACACTTGTCTCATCAGTGCCCTTGTGTCCAAGGGCTGCGAGGCAAGTGCTTTTAAATGTAATCACAGCAGCAGCGACCTCTCTTGAGAGGTCACGCTACGCAATGCCTGGGTATAATACATGGTAAAAATTAACATCTCTTAGAAAAGCTAACAATGATTTATGGGTGAAAAGTGGTTCCCTACCGACAAACATTGCAGGGTGTAAAGGTATATGTTGTCGGTAGGGTAATGGGAAGTGTTGTCTTCTTAGAGTGTCTAAATCTTTACATTGGATTAAAACGTGAAGAACTGTTAAAACCTCACCACATTTATCACACAATGGTGGATCACCACCGGATAAAAGATGTGTGTGTGTCGTGTATGTGTGCCCTATCCTGAGTCTTGTTAGTGTTACTTCTGTTAGACGTGATTTTGATACTGGTGGCCAATGGCCAAGGTGTGGCTTGATAACGTGTAGTTTGTTTTGTGTGTGTGTATCCCACTTGCTCTGCCAGTAGTTCCTGAGGTTTAGTTTGAGAGACGGCTTAAGATCAAGGGCCGGGATTGATATGGATGTAATGGCGGTGCTCTTATGGACGGATGCAGCGAGCTGATCCGCCCTCACGTTGCCTTGGATCTCACGGTGCCCTGGCACCCAGCACACTACAACATGTTGTTTGTGTGTGTAGAGTGTGCACAAAATGGAGTAAAGTGAGACAAGGACTGGGTTTTTTTGTTTTTTAAGACTGTGCAGAGCCGTTACCACACTGAGGGAGTCTGTATAAATTACTGCTTTTTGTATTTGTAATTGTTTGATGTGTTTAGCTGCCACCAGTATCGCGTAAGCTTCCGCTGTGAATATACTTGTGCGTGGATGTAGAGGGCCAGCATCCGAAAAGGATGGGCCGACAGCAGCGTAGGACACAGAGGAGTTAGTCTTGGAGGCATCTGTGAAGAACTCAGGACATGTGTATTTGTGTTGAAGTTCGAGAAAGTATGTTCGGATATGGGCAATAGGTGCATGTTTTGTAACCTCTAGGAAAGACACATCGCAGTCTATAGTCTGCCACTGCCACGGTGGCGGGTATGCTACAGGAGCCATTAAACTATGTTCAAGTGACACTTCAGTTTCTTCAGCTAGACACTTCAGGCAAATTGAGAAGGGCTGCCTCATCGAAGGCCTGTTTTGAAACAGTGTTGAGCTCGACAAATCATTAATTGTAGAGTATGAGGGGTGCTTCTTGTCTGCTTTCACCTTAAGGAAATAAACAAAGGACATGTAAGTTCTCTGCAGATGAAGCGACCACTCATTTGACTCAACATAAAGGCTTTCTACGGGGCTGGTGCGAAAAGCACCCGTAGAAAGGCGGATGCCCAAATGGTGCACGGGGTCAAGCATCTTCAAGGCACTTTGAGTGGCAGACTGATAGACAACGGCCCCATAATCTAAGCGGGTACGAATAAAGCTTCTATAGAGGTTCATGAGGCATTGCCTATCACTACCCCACGTAGTACGTGACAACACTTTTATAACATTCATGGCTTTTAAACATTTTGTTTTTAAATACTTGATGTGCGATACGAAGGTCAACTTGTTGTCCAAGATTAAGCCTAAGAATTTATGCTCGGCTTTGACGGACAGACGTTGCCCGTTCAGCCGAATGTCAGGTTCAGAGTGCATGCCTCTCTTTCGAGAGAATAAGACACACGTGCTTTTTTGTGGGTTAAGTCGAAATCCGTTTTCGTCTGCCCATTTGGAGACCTTATTTAAACCCATCTGAACCTGCCGCTCACACATGGCTAAGTTGCATGACTTGAAGCCAAGCTGAACGTCGTCGACATATGTACAATAGAACATCATGCGGGGAATGGACAAGTGCAAAGAATTCATTTTGATGATAAAAAGTGTGCAACTAAGCACACCACCTTGTGGCACGCCTGTTTCCTGGACAAATGTTTGGGAGAGCACACTGCCTAGACGGACACGGAATGTCCGGTTTGACAGGTAACTTTCGATTATATGAAACATTCTACCGCGCACACCAAGGTGGGACAGGTCTTTTAGAATTCCGAAACGCCATGTTGTATCATACGCCTTTTCGATATCGAGGAACACAGAGAGAAAATATTGTCTATGGACGAAGGCGTCTCTTATCTGTGCCTCGATACGAACGAGGTGGTCTGTGGTGGATCTACTTTCTCGAAACCCGCACTGAAATGGGTCGAGCAAATTGTTTGTTTCAAGAATATGTAGAAGTCGGCAGTTTATCATTTTTTCGAATACTTTGGACAAGCAGCTTGTAAGTGCAATAGGCCTATAACTTGAAGCTAAAGAAGGGTCCTTGCCCTCTTTCAAAATGGGAATAATAATCGCCTCTTTCCAGGAGGTAGGGATAGTGCCAGAAAACCAGATAGCATTGTATAAACAAAGTAAGGTTTTTCGTGTTTCGGCTGGTAGGTTTTTTAACATTTCATACACCACACGGTCAGAACCTGGGGCAGAAGTACTGCAGGAGTTTAGAGATGTTCGGAGCTCAGCTAGGCTGAAAGCTTGGTTATATGCCTCGTATCTAGTGGATTTGTGTTCTAGTTTCTGCTTTTCTATTCTTGTTCTGTATTTTTGGAAAGTGTCAGTATAGTGGGACGAGCTGGATACCCGTTCAAAGTGTGCACCGAGGAAGTTTGCCTGATCTTCAAGGTATCACCCTGAGTGTTTACGAGTGGAAGTGTGTGTACTTGTTTTCCTGCTATCCTACCGACCATGTTCCAGACTTTAGCCTCCTGTGTGTATGAAGTGATCCCTGACAAAAACTTCTGCCAGCTTTCTCTTCTGGCCTGCCGACGCGTTCTCCTGCCTTGAGACTTTATTTTCTTAAAGCTCTCAAGGTTTTCCGCTGTCGGCGAGTTGCGCAGCAACCTCCATGCCCTGTTCTGTTCCTTTCGCGCATTACGACACTCTGTGTTCCACCATGGGACGTGTCGCTTGCCGGGCTGTCCAGATGTTTGTGGGATGCATTTGGCTGCTGTGTTAATAAGGAGAGCTGTGAAGTACTGCACAGCTTCATCTATGCTTAGCGTACATATGTCAGTCCAAGATAAGTGAGCTTTGTTATGAAACTGTTCCCAGTCGGCTTTGTGTATAAGCCATTTGGGAACTCGTGGAGGATATTCGTATGATGTTTGTGTACTCAAAACGACAGGAAAATGGTCGCTTCCGTAGGGATTATTTTGAACTTTCCATTGGAGTAATGGCACAAGTGATGGA